CATGGTCATTCTGATGCTAAAAATATACAGCATTCCTGGGCAATCTGTTATATTACTGACAGTGTTTATAGTTTTATGATACTTAGGATAATTATTACCACACACACACACACACACACACACACACACACACACACACACACACACACACACACACACTGCAGTAAAGTGATTAGAGCAGGTACTGCTGAGCTTTAAAACATCCTGTCTTTCAATTTCTGTTATCTGCTGTCGGCCGTGTTTCAACACGCTCCTCTGAGATGATGGATCAAAATTGGTTAACACACACACACACACACACACACACACACACACACACACACACACACACACACACACACACTAAACCACAATGACAACACAATCATTTTGCATGATGCTGAATGTGAAATATGTTCGACAATTTAACGTTTTCTTGTATTGAACACATGTTTACATTTCCTTATGAATTCATTGGCTCAGTGCACGTGTGAGTGTGTGTAACAAGAGGCACACACACACACACACACACACGTTTTTGTTATTTCACCAACCAGCATGTTTCATCCTTCTTTGTCTATGTTGTCACAACACTGAGCAGAAATCTGCCAAGTAACCCGGGTGATAATACTACACACACACACACACACACACACACACACACACAGCCGGTTGTATCCGGTCCCTTGTGTGTGTGTGTGTGTGTTTGTGTGTGTTATGTTCCCAGCTCCTCTGCAGGAGGTTTAGCTCTCGGAGATTAAACAGCTCAGTTTTCTAACAAACACAAAGACAAAACTTTCTCCGTCTGTTTCCTCGTGACGCTAACAACACAGCAGAGAATACGACAGATTCATTCCATTCACTTTAATGAGTTTTTTTCGTTTTTAATTTGTGTGTGTGGATCAGGGTCACAGCAGGGTGCCACATGTTTTCCGTGAAATAACTGAAGAGCCTGGAGATCAACAACCAGCTACTTTCCCATTAAACGCACACAACATGTTTATTTCCTACAAACTGAATATTTGATCGGAATCTAAACTGATCCAGTTGAATGTGATTCGCTGTCTTCACCTGACGTGTGTCTCAGTTTGAAGCTTCGTTTTGTAGGTGTTAGTTTTCATCATCACATCATTGTGTCTCTGGATTAAAACACAGACCACACGACACCTGCTGGTTTGATGTGGATCAGACGCCAGCGTCCGTCACTCTGTGGTGATGTCACCACAACATCAAAACAAAAACACAGGAGGAGAAGAGGATCATGGGAAATACTCCAGGGAGGAGGAGATAATTACTCATGCTAATCTCTTAGAAGCCACTGTGCCCCCCCCCCCCCCCTTGTTATTGTTGTGACAGCTCAAGTCAGAGTGTGTGTGTGTGAGTGTGTGTGTGTGTGTGTGTGTGTGTGTGT